TAGAATCTTCCATTTCTATGGGAAAAAAATTATTTTTCACAGTTATAGTCCATCACAATCAAAAAAACTATTAGCAGTTTACATAAAACCAAATAAAGCATATATGGTGCAAGCTTCCATAAAAAAGACAAAAACACCCATTATAAAAACACAAATAATAAAATAAATGTGAAAGATGGCGTGATAAAATCAGACAAAGGTTCTTGGAAACAACTCCATCTTCAGAAGTTTCTAAATAACTCCATCTTTAGAAGGAGAGAGCTAGTCTGATCTCCACTCTGAGAGACTGCTTGATAGGGTTGGCATTGCTACTGAAAAGTAATGCCTCCTCATCTCATCTCCCCAAGTCTCCTAAAAATGTGAGATCAATAATTTATCCCTGTTGTATCTGATGAAATTATTCTAAATCATATAGCTATACACTACCAAAAACAAATTTGTTAAACAACAGACCTGTTAAGATCTAAAACAATGCAATTTAAGAGATAGATTACTTTCAAATACATGAAAGGTGAAGTCTGTCCTAATTACATAACGCAATTATATATGCAATTGGCAATATGCATGGAATTCTTTTTAGGTATTTTATGCATTTAAATTATGTTATGTATTTAATGCATTTAAAGAATTTCAGAAGCAGTCATAGAAGATCTTCTCCATAGTGGTTCCCTCCCTGTAGAACAACATCCCTGCAGAGATAAGATTGGTCCCCACTTTGACACTCTTTTGTAAGGCCCAGAAGACCTGGTTTTCCAATGGGCCTGGGGACCCCAGAGTGGGATGGAGCTCATCAAATGGCTTGACAGTTGTTGCCAGAGGGGCTAGGGATTATTGCTTTTTTATTGTTTTTTTATATTAGGTTTTTATCCTTGTAAACTGCACAGAGTGAGAGTGAGTTAGGCAGCCATATAAATTTTCTTAAATAAATTCATATATCAGCCTTGTAAAGTCCTCAACTTAGAACAATGTGTTTAGTAACCGTTCAAAGTTACAACGGCACTGAAAACTGAGTTATGACCATTTTTCATACTTATGACCGTTGCATGTGATCAAAATTTGAATGTTGGCAACTGACTTATATTTATGACAGATGCAGTGTCCTGAGGTTATGTGATCATCTTCTGCAACCTTCTGACAAGCAAAGTCAATGGGGAAGCCAAATTAAGTTAATAACTGTGTTATTAACTTAAGTGCAGTGATTCACTTAACAACTGTGGCAAGAAAGGTCATAAAATGGGGCAAAATTCACTTAACAAATGTCTCACTTAGTAATATAAATTTTGGTCTCAACTATGCTTGTAAGTCTAGAACAGCGGTTCTCAACCTATGGGTCGCGACCCCATTTGGGGTCGAACGACCATTTTACGGGGGTCGCCAAACAACGTGATCCGCCATTTTTCCCCCTCAGGGGCGGCGCCGTGCATGCGCGCCGTGCATGGGGACGGCACCGTGCATGCGCGCCGCGCATGGGGACGGCGCCGTGCATGCGCGCCGCGTCCGTGTGACCGGGGGTCGCCATATAAAAAGGTTGAGAACCACTGGTCTAGAACTACCTGTATAGCCAGTATTAAATATTACAAATGGCATCCAAGGCTGAAAAGAAGCTGTTTACAAAGTAGTTTTAAATGTCACAATCCTAATCTTTATAATACGCTAGCTACAATTTTGTCTAGTTATAATTTTTCCAGCTTTTAAATTAAAAAAGCTTACTTATATTACCTATAATAAAACAAGAAAGACTAGAATGTTTATTACATAATTTGAAAATAGTTAAATGGAAAAAAATTCTTCCAGTGAATCAGTGGCTGTGTAACAATTTTTAAGGATGTTTTAAAAAGCAGCTAAAACAAATCCTTATTTTCTATGATCAAACATCTATTTGCACATCAGTAATCAAACATGGAAAATAAACTGACAATTTTTCTAAACGATTTCATTACTCAAACTCCTCTACATATTATTTAGCTTATAAACACTTCATCCTCTTAAGAATAATCTAAAGCAAAAAGATTTTACTTTATAGAGGTTCTAAAAATTGAAGATCTTTTCCCCTTCCTCCTCCCATGAAGAGAGAAATTTAAACAGCTCAGATAGTTTTGATTCCTATTGCCTTATGTGCTGAAGTACTCATTCTGGTCATTAAAATAATCCTGAAATATATTGAAACCATGTTGTCACAATGTATATATTGAGATTTAAAATTAAAATGTGGATATCAAAGCATGGCTTTGAAGCAGATAAAAAAAAAGTGGAGTTAGAAGAGTAGCTGTGCTAATCCACATGTCCAAAGGGAATTCAGTCTACAATAAGAAGCCAGACACTGCATTACAGGGTGCAATCTAACATCCCAAGGGCACTGAGGGAAGTAAGAGAAATAAACAGATAAAAAATAAGAAACAAAAGGAAAGAGAAATAGGTGCAGATTTGTTTAGATCCTTATGGGGAACTCCTTAATCAGAAAATGAAAGCAACAATTTTTAAACATGCTTCTACTTAAACACTATATTATATGCTGATCTTCATTTTATAAATCTCTTCATTTTTTAAACAATATCCTTTACATATTTAAAGGTTACATATTTGAAATTGCAAACATTAGAAAAACTAATGACCTAGTTTTTCCTAGCCTTCTTGTTCTAAACCAGCGGTTCTCAACCTATGGGTCGCGACCCCATTTGCGGTCAAACGACCATTTTACGGGGGTCGCCAAACAACACGATCTGCCATTTTTCCCCCTCAGGGGGCGGGGCCGCGCATGCGTGCTGCACATGGGGGTGGCGCTGCGCATGGGGGTGGTGTCGCGCATGCGCGGCGCATCCGTGTGACCGGGGGTCGCCGTATAAAAAGGTTGAGAACCGCTGTTCTAAACCGTATTTGCTTTCCTTTCCACTTTAAAAAAGCCACAAATACACTATGGTTATTGTTAAAATATTAATATTTTACAGTTAGATATTTTTATTTTAATGCTTTCAAATGCAACCTTCATTTAGCAATTTGAAAAATGTATTAATTCTATATATCAATCCTATTATCAGGCTCATGGAAGATAGATTACTGCAATATAATATAGAAATGTTATCCAATTCTGACTTCCAAAAATTGATTGCATTAAATTTTGGCATATAAACTTTGCTAAATTGGTATGCATTAGGGCTACACTATTCCAAGCTTCAAGCTTGATATCATCCCATGATAGTTTTCCTGATCAGCTATTTGCTTGCTACAATATAGTTACTGGTTTATAACACATTAGGGCTTTGTTTAATGAATCTGTTTGATCTTTACTGTTCATGAGTCTTCTCTTTATTATTCCAAGAGTTATAACTTGGTTTTTAATTGTTACCAGTACTTGTTTTGGCAATTTTTAGAAAAAGATATTTTCTATGATATTGCATTATTTAAATTTATTTGGAAAACATTTATGCTATCATTATTTAATATACAGTTTCAAAATAAGCTCACAAAAACATACTTAATTCCGTTTACAACTTATTTGTATAAATGCCTACCTAGACATATTAACTGCCAAATTCAATATGGTTTACTCTCAGGTAAGCAGATACAAGATTGAAATCTGAGTTTAATATTTACTTTATTGTGGTATCAGACAGTTGAGTTTGACTTATAATGCTACAGCTTTTCTAAATTTTATTAAATGTCTCCACCCAAACTATTCCACATTGCAAAGCGGAATGAATACTTTCACACAGTTCTCTAAAACCTACATATCAGTAGCCTAAAGCAAAAGGTGCAGCTTTGTTTTAGATATTAAAAATTTAGCTCTATAAATTATTAAATAAGCTGAAATCCTATCAAGATTATCCATCATAATGCATACGGATAATAAGCTTTGCTATTACAGTTTTCCCAACCAAAATTTTCTAGCCATAAAAAAGCCTTTAAAAAAAACAATGCTGGATCTGCCTACAAACTCAAAACACAGAAAAATGGAAAAGAAGACTGCTATCATTTTTCTGATTTCATTTCTGGAAAAAGCAAACAAACACATGAACCCCAGAAATATCTACCTATTGAAGAAAACAAGGGTGAAGTATAGAATGCAAAAAACCCCCAACCCTCCAATAAAAAGATGCCTGGAAAACCATGTTTTCATAGCTTTATATCAATAATGATATACATTAAAAATCTACATACAAAGCTGTGTTATGTGAAGTTGTGACTGGTAGACACAAGCTTTTATTAACTTAAAAAATTGTAAAACCAACCTGAAGAGATTTCTAATGCAGAAGAAAAATAGGTCATAACTATGCAGCTCTGAATATCCAAAGGATCATACTTCATTATTCTAAGATGTCCCCAGTCCTGGATGTTGTCAGGTCCCAAATTGCAACATAAATTGTCAAAAGCAGGGAAGGGACAGTAAGCACAAGTGGGGGGAAAGGGAGGTCAGAGAAACCCATGCCCAACTAACAAACTAGTTCCTTCCTCTTCAATCTCCCTTCCTCAATTAGCTGTTTTTCCATTCAGAAGAGCAACATCAGCAGCAGAATAAGGATGGCTGTTGTCATCATAGATTAGTCCAGCACTTATAGACACCTAAATCAGCTTTTTTTTGTAGATGAGAAATTGACAACAGAAGACACCTTACACAGAATTGCTATCAGCTTCCTATGACCTTTATGTGTCTGGGAATATTCGATTCCGTTTCCAGAATTTATTCCTCTTCTTCTTCTTCTCTCTTCATCTTCTCAGATGCGCTCAACACGCCCCAATGTGACATCCCTTCTTCCATCACCCACCCATGAACCTATCCACTCCCATACAGAAACTGCTTCTCATTTTCGGTGCTGCGGCTCCCAATTCTACACGTACACACTCGGAGCTCTTCCTACAGCTGGCGCCCGCAGCTGCCACCGCTTTGGCCGGTTAGTCTTAAGCGATCAGCATTTATGATGGGCGGCAGGCCGCCCGTTCACTTGGTGGCGAAGAAAGGAAAAAGGATGCTAATAAGGCGGCGGGGACCCAGTGCCGATACTCACCCCTGCTATGATTTCACCGCCCGGGTGGAAAGACCGGGCTGTCAATCACGGGGCGGGGGAGACCCCAGCACCGCCGTTGCCCCCCTATACCTCCGTTCTCACGGCCGGGAGACAATTTCTTCCCGGCTTCCCAAGCCTGACTGACCGGCCTTAGCCCCACCCCTCTCCTTTCCGAAAATGGCGGTTCCCTCCCGGCCCACAATTCTGCGCGTGCCCACAGCCATGATGTCACTGGTTCCGAGAAGCTGGGGATGCAGGGCGGACAGAGAGCTGGAAAAGTTAGAAGCGCGAGGGAGGAATACGCGAAGGCTTTGCCATAGCACGCATGCGCCACACTGCGGGTGGGGAGAAAAATCTGGGGTTTAATTGTGGCTGATCGATATTTGTCATTCTCTGTGGCTTACGTTGTGATTCCTCTAGTACAGTGGTTCTCAACCTTCCTAATGCCGCGGCCCTTTGATACAGTTCCTCATGTTGTGGTGACTCCCAACCCCCCCATCCAGCTGGCCAGGGGGGTATCAAAACTTGACCCCCCCCAAAAAAAGGAAAAAATGGGAAAGTATAGGTAGTCCTCGACTTACAACTATTTGCTTTAGTGACTGAAGTTACAACAGCACTGAAAAAGCGAATTATGATCATTTTTCACACTTATGATTGTTGCAGCATCCCCAGGGTCATGTGATTTACATTCAGATGCTTCACAAATGATTCATACTTATGACGTTCACAGTGGTCACGTGATCAATGGCCAGGGGGTGTGGTCAGCTGATCACTCAGGTTGCAGAGTGCCTCTGGGGGGGGGCGAAATCTGTGGGTCTCTGGGATGGGACTGCGGTGGATACCTGCCTTCCTTCCTTCTCCCCCCTTGTCCCTTCCTTCTTTTCTTCCTTTCCTTCACCTCCCTTAGTCTCTTCTGCCTTCCCTCCCTCTCTCCCATTGTCCCTTCCTTCTTTCCTTCCTTTCCTTCACCTCCCTTAATCTCTTCCTCCTTCCCTTCCTCTTTCCCATTGTCCCTCCCTTCTTTCCTTCCCCTCCCTCTTAGTCCCTTCCTTCCTTCCCACCCTCCTTCCTTCCTTCCTTCCTTCCTTCCTTCCTTCCTTCCTTCCTTCCTTCCTTCCTTCCTTCCTTCCTTCCCTCTCTCATTATCCCTTACTTCCTTCCCTCTTCGTCCCTTCCTTCCTCCTCCCCTCCGTGCCCAGGAAGGGACAAGGGGAGGGGGACAGGTTGCCAGAGGCAGAGGAGAGCTCTGCCCAGCTCACTTGCTCAGCTTTGCCAGAAAACATGCCACTTGGTAAGTTAGCAGAAGCCCCAGGATCAGCGCCAGGCTACAGCTGATTCAAGCTTCTTCTAAATTAGCAAGCGGCATGTTTTCTAGCAAAGCTCGAGCAAGTTTGCTGGGCAGGAACCAAGGAGAGCTGCTACAGCTGACCTACTTCTGGGGTGCTCTGCAGAAGCACGGATCAGCTGTAGAGGTTCGCCCCAATCGTGGACAAGAGAGAAGGAAGGAAGGACGGAAGGGACAAGGAGAAAGGGAGGGAAGGAGGGACAAAGAGGGAGGTGAAGGGAGGGAAGGAAGGGACAATGGGAGAGGGAGGGAAGTAGGAAGAGACCAAGAGGGAGGGAAGGAAATGAAGTTCCAGCCAGCCGGCTGCCGAGGAACAGAAGAGCGCAAAGCCAAGGAAAAGAAGGTGGCAGTTTCCTCCGAAAGGGGGCTCCTTTTCTCCACCCCTTCCCTGGGTTTGTGAGAAATTTCTCATCACCAACGCTGACAGGTGCTTTCTCGCCCCCTTTGCTTCTCCCCCCCCCCCCGCTTTCGTGAGGATTGTGGCACCCTTGGGAAGCCAATCATGCTTTGAAGCTTAGGAGAGGAGGAGGAGTTCCCTTCCTCCTTCCCTCCCTCTCTCCCTGTCAAGCCCCGGTGGGCTCAACATGAACGGGTGGAGGAGGAGACGAGGACGGGCGGGTGGCAAAGGGGACCGGAGGCCGTCGCCAGAACTCCCGGCTGACAAGCACAAGTTTGGGGATCGCCAGCTGACGGGCGCAGGAGTTGGGTGCTGCGGCGGTCTCTCCTTCACTGACCTGTGTGCACAAGAAGAAGTCAATCTGGTTGCTGCACAATGAGTCTCTGGGGAGGGCGGGGCCTTGCTCTGCGCCTGCGCTTTTCATGCGCCCCTTGCAGGGCACATTTGGTAGAGCAGCATATTTTCCACAAACAAGTGAGGTGGAGCGGAGGGGGGGAGGGAGAGAAGGCGGTTAACAAGCCCTGCCTAAGACCATCAGAAATATGTGTTTTCCGATGGTCTTAGGTGACCCCTGTGAAAGGCTCCTGTGACCCCCAAAAGGGTCGCGACCCACAGGTTGAGAACCGCTGGTCTAGTAGATGATGGTGCGATCATTTCGTGAATGCCAATAATGAAGCGGGATGCGCGATGTGTGTGTGTGAGGTGGGATTGCCTCTTAATTCAACAACCACCTCCAATGTGATGTTTCCTTCCTCCCTGCCCCTTAGGGCCCCAAGCCAGGTCTTCAGGCTCCTCCGGAAAGGTGGGAGCCAATCTCACCTCAGGGAATAAGATGTTCCATAGGGCACATATTTATCGTTACATAAATTTGGATCACTCGGTTGTTCTGGATCTCAGTCCACTGCATCAAATAAGTATAACTTCAAGAAATAATATGTGTGTGTGTGTGGGGGGGGGAGTAATCTGTTTTCAAAGTGGGGAAAGAAGAAAATAGCGAAAGGGGCAGAAAAAATTATGAACAATAACTTAAAAGCAGTTGTGCTTTTATACTGAGTCTGTTAATATATACAATCTGATGTATGACTAAACAATGTTTATCCTAGTACATGTGATAAGTAGCTTGACAATGTAGGAAAGCCAGTACAATATTTTTCAGTTCTTCACCATTCCCTGCTAAGAGTATTCTTTCTCGGATCTTAAACCACTGTACGTGCCTATTAAGTGAATTATGATCCACAAACATTTCAAAAATAATGAATTTGTTAATCTTTATGGTGTTCCAAAGTTCTTTGCTGTTTTGTTGCCAACAACACTACCATCCTCTAAATTAGAAAAAATCTCTGATGTCTGAGATCCCAGGACTCCTGGTTCATTGTCTTCTTCATTTTAGCTCTCAAATTTCCTAATTCTTCTGATTTTATCCTGGCAGACTATCTTTTTTCCCATTACTCTTTTACAACACAATGAAGCATTTTGTGTCAAATAAAATGCTGGGAATGTATACAATGCGTTTAAAAATAAATATTAGTCTAGAAAGTTGTACATGTTTCTGTATGTTTACAAATAATAAAAATATTAATTTTACTTAACTATTCTATTAAATATTTAAAATCACGACACTAGCAAGTCAATATAATCTGTGCTGGAAGATAGAAGCATTCCTGTTTCTATTTTCCTTACCTGTTTTTGAAGACAGCACTGTCTTCAGAAAGAAAGAAAAGAATTAAAGTACAAAATGTTTGTCGGAGAAGCTGGATTGGAAAAGGAGACAGCAAAAGGTTGATACAGGTAACTCAGAGAGAAGGCAGCTGGGTGAATGAATGCTTGCTGACTTGCTTGCTGAACCAGGTTCAGGAATGAACAAATGCTTGCTTCCTAAGTCTTCACCTTTGTAATTTCGGTGGCTGAATACATGGTTTAAGTCAAACACTATCTGTAAACATTTACAATAATATTTCTTTGAAAAAAATTGTGATTGGCCTATGGGACCTGACTTTTGGTTGTATATAATTTGTATATATGATACATAAGTTTTGTTTGTATATCCAGAAGTTTATATATATATTTTCTCTCATAGAAATTCATTTCATTTTCCCTTTAAATGGTATGTTTCTAAAATGCTAGCTTGTTTTACATATTATTTTAGACATTCCAATTGCTTGCCCTACTTCTACTTTTTTGAATTAAATGATTTGTTGTCTTTAGATAACACTTGCCTACCAATCAAGTTGCTGGCATTATAACTTACAAGTTCCCTGAAGGTCACAAGGGAATATTTCACGGTTGCCTTGGAGGGTAACTTGGGATTGTTTTAAAAATAAAAGGATGGGACTATACCAAAGAAGCACAAACATCCACACTAAATTGCACCATCTTAACTTTGGTTAACTGGAAAAAAGAATAATAAATGTCCACTTTTTTGTATTAGAAAGCTTGGACAATGATGTGGATCAGAAAACATTTGGAAGTTAATGGACACATAATATGACTCAGCATATAATCATTTATTAAATCAACAACCAGACTTTTCAGGAACAAAATTTCTAGGAAGAAAAAAATGGACTCTTTGCAAATTTATATTTATATTAGATTGTGTGAACTATCTCAGTATCTATGTAGAACATCAAATAGCCTCATACTATATTTACTATATCTTGCAGCTGCTTTTTACTGGCTTGTCAGCTATCCTGCAATGATATCTGGCTGACTCCTTATGCGTAGGAAATGTAAAAGCTTATCCCTCTGGGATGCTAGCATGTTTTGCTAGAGATTCCTCTATTAGAGATGCTTATTTTGGAACTATTAAAAGCTGATTTTAAATTTTTCTTTCCACTTTAACTCCTATACTCAACTGTAAAACATTAATATTACACTTAAGTTGTAGTCTACATATAGAATGTGCTCCCTTCAAGCCCATCTGCCCATTTCCTTTGGTCTTTTTAACATCTGTGTTCCTAATCTGTGTACTCAAAAGATTGCTACTGAGAGACATGAAAGTCATCTGTGTAATGTTATACAGCAGATAGAAAAATGAAGCAGATACACCCAGAGTCCACAAGATACGATTCAGCTTCCTGTGTAAAAGGCAAATCCTTCAAAGCCTTCCCACGTACAAGGCAAGCCTAATATTAAACGGTTGATACTCTTTTCAAGGAAATCTATACATTAGTTTTTCTACGGTACTATATTATTTTCTCTCTCACACACACACACTATATTCTCCTTGTCTTTTGTTCTCTTATCCAGTTCTTTGTTATTTCTGTTCAATACAGTTTGCTCATATTTAGTTGTGAATGCCAAAATTGAATTTTGGAAATACCACACTTATGAATGATTCAATAAATAGGGGACAGAGGAAAAAACTTATCACAGCAAAAGATGAAGGAATTTAGTTTATGCTTTCAGTCATACGCATAGCAAAAACTCTGGCTAAAAAAGACAATATTTAACTTGGCCCCCAAAACAGGAAGGAAATCCTGACTCAAATTATTTGTCCTTCTAGTCCAAGAAAAACATTGGCTTCAGGAAAAGACTGCTTGGATTTGATATATTGGATATATTTTATTTGTACATACATTTAATATATGATTAGTATAATGAAGTACAATGAAATATTTTTCAAATAATTAAAGAAAGATAGGCTAAACAGAGCACTAATGATGGCTAGTTGCTATAAGTAGTGTGAATACTAATTTGGAAAAAATTCTATTTTGTGAATAGAGACAGTATGTTTCTCCTGGGCTTCACCAGCTTTGAGCTTACTCTGTACAAGTATACAGCTTTTGTGTAAGAAAATCTTGTAACATGAACTATTTTTATATTTGATTCTAAGGTAAATTACTCAGCAGATGATAGCACCAAATCAATTTTGTCTGTAGTTCAGAAGCTAAGCATGGTAAGCTATTCTCCAAAGCACCTGGAGGCAGGACAAGAAGCAATGGATGGAAACTAATCAAAGAAAGAAGCAACCTGGAACTAAGGAGAAATTTCCTGACAATTAGAACAATTAATCAGTGGAGCAACCTGCCTCCAGAAGTTGTGAATGCTCGAACACTGGACATTTTAAAGAAGAGACTGGACAACCATTTGTCTGAAATGGTATAGGGTTTTCTGCCTGAGCAGGGGGTTGGACTAGATGATCTCCAAAGTCCCTTCCAACTCTACAACTACTGTTGTTGTTGATGTTGTTGTTGTTGTTATTATTATGTCTAACTACTACTTGGATGGCAGATTACCAGGACTATGAACTAGGTTGGAAAGTAAAACAAGTGCAACCCTCAATGAAGGTTGTAAAGAAATCTTTTCTGTACAAAATCTTTTTCCATAAAATTATGTAATAGTCTCCATGTATCCGCAAGAAGTCAAGTTTGACTCAAGGGCAGCTTTGTATTTAGACAGAGCACGTTGAGAGAAAAGTTTCCAGGGATTCTACATTAAAACAATACAGGTATTCTATTACAAAGATTACATATACATATGTGTAGTTGATACTGAGTGCTGTTTTTTTATAGTGCAACAACACCCCCCCCCCATTTTCAGACAATAATTTTTATTAAACTTTTTTTGATCTGCCCATCATTTTTGGGGATTGTGACCTCGGCTAGTATATAAAAGTACATATAGATGCACATTTACAAATTTATTATGTGTACGCATTTACTAGAAAAGATGACATCTTCAGGAATTGGGTTTAATAACAAGATAGAGAATGTATCTAATCTTCCTTTCAGTCAGGGTTACTTAAAGGCAGAAACATTTTTTTTGATTAAGCAATATTTGAATGTTAAAAAAAAATAAATTGGAATAATGCTTGTTAATACAGTAGAATCCATAGAGTATATAATTTGGAAAATTTTATGCTGCAAGAATATGTTGGTCTTTAAATTAGATTTTACTGATTTTGATGCATTAATTAAACTAACACTATAACAAGTTATTTTCACTCTAGAAATTTCATTATACTAATATCAGATATGTAGCTTAAAACACACCACAAAAAAATTCTAATAGTAAGATTTCATGGCATGACTGAACAGCAGCATTTGCAACAGGGTTTCTGAAACTTGGCATAGCAACTTTAAAATGTGTGGACTTCAATTCCCAGAATTCCTCAGCCACCAGGGCTGCCTAATTAATTCTAGGAGAAAGTCCTCCTAGACCAGGGGTTTCAAACTGCCAGCCCACAGGCTGGACGTGTCATCTGGAAGCCACGCCTACCACATTGCCGGCAATGGCAAAACCGTCCCTATACATTGCGTGACATAAGGAGTTTGACATGGCTGTCCTAGACTTTCCACACTAACCACACATATTAAAGTTGCCAAGCTTGAAAATCATTGATGTACACAACGGTCGTCTCACAATTCTGCTTTTTCAGAACAGTACTCAAATAAAAAACAAAAAAACAATAGCACTTGGTACACACTGTATTTGTGGACAGGTAAGAGAATTATCTATTTTAGAACAGGGGTCCCCAACCCCCAGTCCGTGGACCAGTATCAGGCCACGGCATGTCAGCAACCGATCCGCACAAACAAGCAAAGCCCCATCTGTAGGATGCAGGCAGCACACAAAACCACACACCCTCCAGTCTGCAGAAAAACCTCTCTCCAAGGAACCGGTCCCTGGTGCCCAAAAGGTTGGGGACCTCTGCTTTAGAAGGTCTTTGGATCAGACCATAATTATTAATAATGCAGATTATTGTTTCCCTACCAGAATCAATTGGATTCACAGAGCAAACTTCTTCTACTGGGATTTCAGTGATATCTGAGGCCAAATGGCATCTGTGTTGACTCACATTAGCAGGAAATTGGGAGAAGAGGGTACAGAATAATCACACACAATCCTTTTTAGATCTGCTTTTTTATTTGGAAATGAGACAACCAATGGGTTAGAAATTAGAAGTGAGGATGATAATATAAAAATTGAAACACTAAGACACTGACAATATGCCGTGAAGGCGCTCTTCTTTTACATAATTAAAAATACTCTATAAACACTTGTTCTGTAATAACAGTTGCAATCACACTGAGACATTCATAAGAGCTTTTAGCTTAGCCTTAATCAGTCTCTTCTTGCCTCTCATCCTCCTCTTTTATTCTAATGAAATGAATACTTCAATGGAGAGATCCAATGAATAGCAGGAAATAAAAGACATGCTTGGAATGCAATAATCATTTCCTATCAGATTAAACACCATGTAGAATTTATAGACAAGTATCACTAAACTGTTTCCTCATAGAATTCACAATCTTACTGAGAAACATTAGACATTAAAAAAAAACATTTAATTGGAAAACAAACATTTATTTTTGATATTTCTACAGAGAGTCAACGTCAGTGATACTTCCTTTATTTGGTTTGGACATTTCAGCAGCAAATCAATTCTGAAAAATCCATACAATATTCTGAATATATAATATATATTTCAGTAATTATAATGCAGAAGCTGCTCTGATCAGAATTACAAAAGAATGCAAGATTCAGGAGTTGAAGAATTCTTCATCCAGGCAATTTGTTTAAAAAGGGGGGAAATAATTGGACAAAAAGCAAATGAAGCCTTTTTTAAAAACTAATTTGCCAGTGAAGAATTTTGGAAACTTGTTTACATGCAGTTCTGTAACTCTTAGATTGTCTAACAAAAAGATTGCCATGTACAGTACTGGCTTTATTTGTCTTGTAGCCAATTGCCTTTGCGGTGGATCTGTGCATATACATTCTGTGTACACCAATCCCCCATTGCATCTGGAATTACTGGCATCCTCTAAATATCTGCCCTAGAGAAATATGAAATTAGCCAGACCAATTATTAGAATACTAATGGCTTCAGGGGATGGAATGGATAATAGAAGTTGCTTTCACCTGCTTATTTGTTTCCTTTACTAGAGGATATACTGTCTGTGAATAAAAGCAATCATTCCATGCGTGGAAGGAATGCACAATATGAATCCATTAGAAGTACTAATCTATGCAAAATCCACCAAGAACCTTTCTATTCAGCCAGAAGTCGATCTCAATGAGCCTGTTTTGAAAATAAATAGATGAGTCAATTGCTCTAATGCCATGAGCAAATCATTATATGACATGCCATACTGTATATATTTTGAACTGTGGAATAGAGGCTGTTTTTCCATTAAACTAATGCAATCTATCATATATCTATTAAAGAAACATCTATTGGATGTGTCAATCAATAAATAAAGGTAATATTTATGTAAGACTAGATTGACAGACACGGATGACTTCTTCTAGAATGAATAATACTCATTGAGTATGAGATTTAAAAAATGAATACATCCAAATGGAGACATGTTGTTTGCATTTAATTAAATGAAGCATTAATTACAAAATCATCTTAAAATATTTCAATCATTTAGCAATTGATGATGTATTAAAAAGGTGAAAGGACTGGACACTGTTGGCAGAGATCATCTGGATCGTGCTGTCAACCCAATCCTCTTTATATTTTCCTGGGATCCATGCTGCAGGTCCAATACTTCTTAAGTACAAGTATTTCATACGCAGCCAGATAATTCTTTGTCATAGGACCAGCCCAAGCAGGTTGCAAGGTGGCATTAGGTGTGTCTTGTGGGGCAGGTTTGGCATTTCTACTTCTCAAATCCTTGGACCTGTCCACCTCAGATGTTCCCCATGCCTCATCATAGCATGTGTTGTTAACATCCACTCTTTAGCCATTTAGCAAGATGTTCGGTACACATCATAGACCCTTATTTTGGTCACTAATTTTTAAATAATGTAATACAGGCCAAAGCAATTCATACCCAGCAACAAAAGTCTCTACTAGGAGGATAATTCCTAAATTATAAACTTTGCAGAGTTAATCATGATGTAAATGACGCAATTACAGTATTGTCTTCAAGTATTACAGTATAATGCTGGCATCTTCATGAGTGATAGAGTTCCATAGAAAATATTTAATTATTTGAATTATTTATAGTTGAAACAGTATTAAAAAATTACCAGTCTTATATATTACTTCTATTTCTTAACCATTGCTGTCAGCTGGAAGCATCTGGTATATGAATGAACAAAATAAATAAATAAAAACAAGCACCTATATACAAATATATCAGAATACTTTGATGTAATTTAGGACAGAAATTCAATTCATCATTTCATCTTTGGTTGAAAAAACTAAAAAGAGAGAGAAAAGAGAAATTAGACTATAATTAGTCTATAATTAATATTTGGGCATGCTATCTTAATACACAGAGCCACTAGAGTAATACAAAAAACACCGCTGGATTTATTTAAAGAAAAAATTAGGACATTTCTTTCAAAATGGTGTTATTCTGACCATTTTCAGTAAGCCATAAGTGAAATTGGCAATATATTTAATTTAAAGTCCCCCCCCCCCAAAAGGAATGTTCTTCTACAGAAGGGCAGAAGCTGAGGCTTAACTACTGGAGTTATTTTTTTTAGAATTTGTTAGCTTTAAATTAGTATAATGACATAAATGTAAATAGTAGTTGATAACTCTGCATGCATGCACTCTGAAGCATAAATTTGTAGTTGTATATTTTTAAATATACAGTTTAAATATACAGTGACAGTTAGAACAAATCAGTGGAACAACCTGCCTCCAGAACTGTGAATGCTCCAACACTGGAAGTCGTTAAGAAGAGACTGGACAACCATTTGTCTGAAATGGTATAGAGTTTCCTGCCTGAGCAGGGGTTTGGACTAGATGACTTCCAAGGTCCCTTCCAACTACTACTACTACTACTGCTACTACCACTTCTCCTTCTCCTTGTTGTTGTTGTTGTTATTATTATTATTGACAAAGCTGCAACTTAAGAATCAAATTTACCCAATGTTGCTGCCTGTTAGTTTGCACTTCATTTCAGTCCAAATTTCTTCCATGCTTTTTCAAATGCTACTTGTCCCATGAGGAATGTGATGGTAAAATTCCGTTTGTACCATTCCCTACATTTTAGAAGCAAGGGAACATAACAAAATCATGGTCATCTTGAAAAAAATATTAAAGATAAATATTTAGAAAAATCTTTCTCTCTGTTGCATAATTCAAGTGAACCCTAACAAATTTGTACTGTTGGAAGTACCTTTCTAGAAAAATACTCTACTCTGTACCATATGCATATAGGTATGTGCAAAAACATACGCTGCATTATTTGAAGCACCATTTTATTTATTTTACTTTATTAGGCTAACATGCTTCTGTAATCCGAAAAAGGTCTCTTTTAATAAAGCTTATATAAACTGCAGTAATATACCAATGCAGTGAATACAAATTAGGTTAAGAGACATTCTTTTATTTCTGAAACGAGTTTCTAACTCTACAAATTTATCAAAAGATCAAAGTACGGTCCTCTTCTGAAGGTGTTGCATAGCCCTAGCTGATAAACAGCAAATTAACAACTTATTAAATTAATACAAAAATGTTGTATTATTAAAATTTGATAATACAGATAAGATAAATGATTTTATCACTCAGATAAATTTTATCTTTTTAAATATTGCATACAATATTTAAATTAAACTAAAGAGAGTGAGGGAAGAGAGAAATTAGACTATACTTTGTCTATAATTAATATTTGGGCATCCTTACAATGTAACTATCTTAATACACAGAGCCACTAAAGTAATACAAGAAACACCACTGGATTTTTTCTAAAGAGAAAATTAGGACATTTCTTTCAAAATGGTGTTTTGCTTTTTCATTTTGTTAGCTACCTTGAAAATATACTTTTTAAAATAGAGTAACTGTTTAAAAGAGCAGCTATACTTATGTGTGTTCAAAAGTATCTTTGCCTAATTCATCTGGATTTTCTTCCGACTATGTTCAGAGTTGTATTGTAATAATGTGAAGTGCTGTATCAATATGTCCAGATAAATTATATTGTTTCCTGTTCAATATTTAATGTAACTCTTATTGCCTATCTTTGTCCTATTAAATTAAAATTGTGAATAGGATTATATATTTTAACCTTAATATGGTATATCATGTAGCAATACTGTACTGTATGCAAATAATGATTAAAATCCTGTTTCTAAATGACAAATGAACTTATGCAGTTTATTTAAGATTGCAACATCTTACCCGGAAGCATGCAAACTACTACTTTCTAAATCTACAATTTTATGCCCACTTAGCTGCAAATCTCAGTGAATACAATTGAGTGTTTTAGGCCTCAAGGTATCTGCCTCAAGGCCTTCTATGATCAGTTAGGTAGAGTATGAGACTGATACACTGTCTACTGTGCTAGATGAAATGCAGTCAATGAAGAAATATTAAGAATATAGAAAGTACGGTGCAGATTGGTAGGTGAGTGAATAGCAACAGAGAAACAAAGAAAGTCAGCTGGTGATTTGGAAACAGTTCCAAAAAGTTTATTAAATAAATTGTTTAAAGAAATCAATGAAAGAGAAGGGTAGAACTGATCTGACAAATAAGGAAAGAAAACTACCCTGAAAAATATCTCTTACCTATTATAGTATACATTTTTTTCCAAGTTTTTACTTAGGAAATCTTTGTAAAATTCAGCCATTTCTTCTGCAGTCAGTGATACTTTCTGACCTGAAAGGGAAATAAAATCACAGCCTATAGATAAGGGGAAAAAATCTTAACCGTTAATTTCTTTGTTATTTATTATGACAGGTTTAATATCAAATTAAAATTGAAGCCAGGATATCCATATTTATGGATTTATGGCTATATACTGTCTCTTCTATACACAAACAACTCTCCACAAATTAGTTGTATTATTTTAAGGATGTTCACATTAAAGATCTGTATGAACTCTGTAAATGGAAATGCTGTATGAATTACAAACAGTAGCATTAGTAATAACTGGTTAAATCATGGTTGTCCAAACTTTTGGCTTGCCTGGACTGCACTGAGTGAAGAGAAATAGTCTTGGGCCACAAATAAAATATATAATGTAGTTAGTGTATATAAATAACAAACTTCCTGTTAAAAGTTTGCAATCTTGTGGGGATGCCTTACTAGCTGTTCAGGAGTGCATGTGGCCTATAGGCCATGGATTGGGATGCCTGGGTTAAATGAATAATATAGTACTAAGCAGAGAAATAAAAATATTCTTTTGTAGCTAAGAGTCATTCCAAATTCATGGAAAATTATAGACTTCTTCCAGGCTTCTCTGTAATTAAATTTTAGTTATATTACTCCCTATCATGAGTTCTCTCTCTAACTTGTAACTTCATTCTCAAGGAGCCTAATGTTCTTATTCCAAAACTGAACTTTCTGCAATAGAATCTATTTTAAATTACTAATGAAATTTGAGGATTAGAAACACTATAATAAAATAAAGCTATGCTACAGCAAATATTCCAAGCCATTTTTGTTTTAGCTTTACTAAATACAGTCAGATATGCATGATTTCTTTGATCAAAAGTGGGATATAAGTATTTGACTTAGACTATATTCTATGATTTAAAATCCACAAGTAACATAAATCATTTAAGAATGTATGCCAAATGGTAAAACCAATGATCTAACCTTTTTCATCTCTTGGCTGTATACCTTTGGCTTTCAGTCTAGAACAAACAAATTCTTCTTTTTCCTGAAATAAGATTCAATAATATTACAATATATTGGTTCTTAGAGTATTGGTATCATCTTATTAAGTGACAATTATCAATCATAATAGTTTATGATTGAAAAATCAACTCCATCTAATATTTTAACTGATGAGAAAGATACTCTTCAAAACAATTAGAGATTAATTTACCATGTCCCCCTGAAAATGCCCTTGTCTGGACTACTGCAATGCGCTCTACATGGGGCTACCCTTGAAAAGTATTCGGAGACTACAGTTGGTCCAGAATGCAGCCGCGCGAGTGATAGTGGGTGCTCCTCGATACACCCACGTTACACCTATCCTCCGTGAGCTGCACTGGTTGCTTATTGGTCTCCGGGTCCAATTCAAGGTGTTGGTTATTACCTATATGGCTCAGGGCCAGGCTATTTGCGAGACCGCCTACTACCTCATAGTTCCCTTTGTCCGGTTAGATCCCACAGGCTGGGCCTCCTTCAGGTCCCGTCGGCCAAGCAGTGCCATTTGGCGGGGCCGGAGGAGGGCTTTCTCTGTGATGGCGCCCACGTCTTGGAACCAGCTCCCCCCGGAGATTAGGACCGCTCCCACCCTGTTGGTTTTCCGTAAGCTGCTTAAGACCTGGCTTTTCCGGCAGTCCTGGGGTTTATAAAATCTGACCCCTGGATGACTGTTCTTGTACTGTTTGTTTTGTTATGTTTTATGTGTTTTTATTGTTAGCTGCCCAGAGTCCTCCGGGAGTGGGGCGGCTTATAAATTTTAAAAATAAATAAAATAAAATAAAACCCGGTCCTTTTTTTTTTGCCTCCAAAAGAGGCACCAGGTCTTATTTTCGGGGGGGGGATCTTTCCCACAGTATCACCTTGTGGCAGCGGCACCAACAGCCCTGCTCAGCTGGCCCACTTCTTCTGCGGCTGAAGGAAATGCTGCTGCAGCTGAGAGTGGAGCTCCTGAATTATGCACGTGGCACCCCCCCCAGCCTGCATTTCGCCATGAGAGGTCTTCTGGAAAGGCCTCTGATGGTGAAATGCAGGCTGGGGGGGCACTGCAGAATAAGTGGGCCGGCGAGGCAGGTGTTGATTCATGGGAAGCCTGGCTGTAATGGTAGGCGGGTGTGGGGTCTGTGGGGCAGCTCCACCCTCCCCACTCCTGCCCTAGCTTGATTTTTAGACATGCGCCTCGCCCCAAACTAGGGCTTATTTTTGGGGTAGGGCTTATATTACATCAACCCCCCAAAATCAAGCCAGGGCTTATTTTCAGGCTGAGTCTTATATTTGGGAAAACACGGTATCTTCAACATAAGCAATTATGTAACATAAAATTCAGCAGCTATCTATTCATTTTGATATGACTATTAAAACTGAGAGAAGAACACACTTGTACAGCAATATTTCCCCCTACAAAAAAAAAAATACACTGGCTCTAGGTTAGCGTAAACAGATAAGTAAGTTTACGGTAGTAAGACTTCATAATTGGCACTGGAGAAATTTAGAAATGAAAAATAAGTTAAAAATATTACAAATATAAAATAGGAATTGTATATTGAACAGTTGAATAGTATCACTGCTTTAAAACAAATTTTCCTACAAGACTTAAATGAACAACCAGTGCCATCTAGTGGTTTTATATTTCTACCTTTCTAAATGATAAATTTTGATTTGCCCAGAATTCTTGATTCCAAGCCTGAGTTTCCTGCCTAAGTTCTCTCAGTCTTCGTTCCAATGGAGTTTCATCTTTAGGAATATAAAATATTACTGGTCGAAGGTTGGAATACTGATCAGGAGGTCCAATCCAATCACAGCAAGAATCTGAAGGTGGCTGAAAATGTGAAACCTTAAAAAGAGAGGAGGAGAGATTAATAATACAAACCATCACAAATTATTTCAACATTATATTGCCCAAAGAAAAGAGGCAGGCTATACAAACAATTATAAAGATGAGATAAGATTAAGCAAAATTTTAAAGAATAACATTTCACACTGGGCAAAATTCAATCTTATGTCTATCTATCTTGTAGTTTAGCAAACATCAAATAGGTGGTGAAATGAAGAAATAATCAGAACAATTTTTTAAAAAAAAATAAAATACAATGCACACAATTTTCCAAATTTCATACATAGATCCCTTTTTTCCCTGATAGAAAACAGTTGTGGTATTTGTGATATGTCTCTGTAAGACTTAATATCTCTAGTTTGCCCTTAATCCCCCGAACGCCCAAATGTGCAGTTCCAAAACCATGATATCATGCGTTACTGGACATCCCCACTGTAATTTTCAGGTCCTTTTTTTAACAAGAAAACTTCAAGTGAAAAACTGATCTCCTCATAAAGAAGTAACTGAATCAGAAAAAAAAAAAATAAACTACAAAACAGAATACTACAAAGGAGTAAAGTTCATGTAAGGCTGATAAACTGAAGCAATTGTTTGTAATTTTAACTGCAGAAGAAGAATTGTGGGGATATTAAAATCATTTTGTAAGCTGCCCTTCAAAATAATTTTTCCAGGTAACTTGTAATAGTTTTCTGAAATTGTAATTTTGAGACTAATATAACTAATCTAACATGTCAAAAACAACCAAAATGTTATTGGAGATAAATGGAAACAGCAATATAGTTATTGACTCTTACTCCTAGTTTCGGGGATTGTATTAAAGTTTCAAAAGCTAGCAAAGTAGGTGTGCCTCATTCCAGATCTAGGGACTACTATGGACCAAGTAGTAGCATTGGTGGAGAAGGATGCCAGAAGTGAGAATAATGTACTTAATGTGGTGACCCAAGTCATCATCCTCTTATACACACATATAGAAAAGAAGGCAGAACTTAGATTATGATGCCATATCCACTATCCCACAGAATTCACAGTGAGTAGGTATGCTCCATTCATTTCTTGTCAAGCCTCAGGTGGGGAAGGATGGTTTAAAGATCTAAGTCAGACATGTCAAACACAAGGCCCGGGGGCCGGATGCGGCCCACGAAGTGGTTTCATGTGACCCGTGAAGCCATCTTGGAAACAGTGAGGGAACAGCCCCCTCTGCCTTGGCCCTGGCCCACGCCAGCTGGGAGCCAATGTACAATTTTGTGGTGGCCATCTATGCTGAAACGCATTCAGTCTTAGCTCCATAAGCCCCCACCCTGCATGCCCTGAGAGGAACAGTGAGGCTCTTCCAGTGGACCATGCCTTGACACTTGCCCTGGTGACACCCACCCAGCCCCCTGAGGGCAACCGCAATGCTGATGCGGCCCTCAATGAAATTGAGTTTGACACCCCTATTCTAAGTATTTTTTAGGCAGTTCCAAAATATGAAGAGATTCAGGAGTTAAAATCAGTTTCTTAAATTAAAGTCATGCTGATGATGAAGTGAATATTCAGTCCCAGGTAGTTCTCTGGCTATCAGAGTTTCCAAACTGTCTTCAAAATCAGCTTTACATAAAGTGCAAAATGGTAATCTAGGCAAGCAGTTAGCTATCAGAGCACTGATTACTGAAGCCAACCTAAGTGGTTAAAAGTGCATTAAACAGAAGAAAGCATTTTTATTTAATGAAAAAAAAAGGAATCTCACATCAACAAAAGATGCAACCAGATCCTTTTATTTCACAGAAAGAAAACCAAAAGGAATAATATACCAGAATGCACAAGTTATGCACAGTGCCTTGTTCATGATAAGAAACAATCATTTTACTAATTCCAAGCAGCTTCCTTCATTTCTGTGATTTGCTTACAAAGATTTGATGAATAAATCACAATTGGCTCGATTTACAGAACACGCAAAAGCGATCAGAATATCGTTAAAACATCTGCTATGTGAACCAACCCACCAACTCTATGACAGCAGAAAGTTACCCAGTGCCCTCCCACGATCTCGTCACGCTGGCTGGGAAAGATTCGAACGGAAGCATGAAACCTTGGCAGGGCACACGGATACGTAGCCCTTTATTTCCTTCGCGTTACCTTTCTCTTGGGAGGCGAGGGCGCGCTCTGCCTCTCCGGGTCTTCGCCACGCGAAGATCCCCCGGAGACTGAGGATGACAAAAACCTGCAGCCGAAACAGCTCGAGACTAGGTACGGGCAGCCGCTCAGGCTGTATAGAAATCCTCGGCTACTAACGACAATCGCCATCCAGGCCAGACCAAGGCAAGGATAAACACCCCTCACAGCCTCCAAGAACTGAACGCGCCCGTTGCTTTACGGCAACGTCGTGAAAGGCGGGGGAGGGAGAGTTCCCTATCAGTTCTCGCGCGCTCTCCTCGTTCCCTCAAATGGCGCCGGCGTTAGGGAACGCCGGGAGAGTGCGCGAGCTGGGCTGGGAGCTGGAGTGTTGCAACCAGCTTAGCTCATTTTCGAGCCACGCTTGAGGTGAGAAAGGGAGCGGAGAGGGAGGGACGCGGTGGCTAAGGTGCTACGGGCAGCTCCAGCCTGCTGTGCGCTTCCCAAGGACAATCGTGGGGATTGGACCGCCGGAGGGAATGATGGAAAGTCCGCACGCTGGTTCGAAAGAAGGGAGCTAGAGGACGACGTTAGTGGAATTACCTGACTCGTGGGGTCTTGGTGGGGGGGGAGTATGGAGTGAGGATGAAGGGGAGAAGACTTGCCGAGTAAGGAGGGAAAGCTGGGCAGCCGGTCCTTGCCGACGGGGCGAAGGAACTGGCCGAGTTAACACGCCCGGGCAATGGTTTTTTATTGGGAAGCGTGGAAGTGGGTCCAGGCTTCTCAAACTGAAAAAAGCAAAGGCAGCCAGCCTGGTAAGATTGCTTGCTGGGCGATTGTGAAGAGCAGCGAGACTGGCATTCCGGTGAAGTTGGCGAGACCGGTTGAATCGAAAAGAGGGAAAGGCTCAACAGCCCTGCAGCCAATGAGGTGGACTGAAAGCTCCACTACACAACCCCAATTGTCGCCCTTTCGAGTCCGTCGGTCTGTGGCGTCCTACCTTACGCCAGCCTGCCTTTTTTTCTCTCCAGAGGTCAAGATGGGCTGCTGAGGGAGAAGGCTGTAGAAGTCCTCGTTTATTGGGGCCGGTGGAGGGACGAATCTGGATTAGGCAAGGGTTGGGGGGACAAGGGGAGTGCCTGGTCTCCCAAGGCGGGTAGGCCAAATGGCTGTTCGCCTCGCGTTGCGTGTTCCTGCTAACCGGCTGCGGCGAAGAGGTGTAGTGCTGGGTCTAAGCCCCGTTAGTGCAGCGGGGCGGGCGGGCTTCCTGGAAGACCGCTCTGCGTCAGATTAGGCGACTAGTCCGCACTACTTGGAGGTGTGAAGCAGGGGGCGGGCGATTATTTAAGCGTAGCGTAGTTGACGGCGACGGAGTCCCGGCGGGGAGGAAAGATGGATTGAAGCACCACTGGGAACAGTCGCGTCTGGAGGTGGCGAATTGAGGCCGGAGATTGTCACGGCGTGGATGGTCTCTCCCTCCTCCCCCCCCGGTAAATAGCTCCTGGTTATAAAGGGTATTTGGGAACGAGGAACACGAATTAGGCCTGGCGGGGCTCAGTGAGCCGGATTCTCCTGTTCTCGTCTCCTCCAGAACCCGTTTGCCTTCTCGACCTCCCCCGCGACCCCCTCCTCCAGCCGTTTCCGGAGAAGCGCCCGGTGGTCAAAGCGGAATTAGATTGTGCAGCATTGTGAAGTCACGGAGTGGGGGGGAGGGGATTGAGGACGGCGGGGAGGTTGTCCGCACGCTCTACCTGGGGGAAGCGGCCCGAGCTCGGGGCTGATTCCTGGCTACCTTCCTGCAGGGATGTAGGATTGAAACGGGGGCCGGGGGATCAAGCTCTGTGCACGGGTACTCGCTTCCCCCAAAGAGCTTCTCACCGGGTAAGAATAGGACGGAGGGTTGGTGTGTATAAGTGGTGAGACAGAATGAGTTGCAGCTTCGCTCTATAGTATACCAAGTAGTGTTTGAATGGGATCGGTGGACCAGACTCAAAGCATTGTCACCTTGAGTAGCTAAAGTACAGTTTGAAATTAAGAGGATGACTGTCTTATTTCTGGAGAAAAGAGGCAAAATATAACTTTGTATTTCCCTGGGGTGACCAAAGAAGGGTAATGAGAGATGTGTCTGTTTTTGTCCCTCTTTTACCTGCTTTTGATATTAGAATAATGCTTGGGCAGGCAGTTGCTACTGTTTTTTTCCCAATACATAAGCACTTGTTATGACTTGCTTGTGGTATTTAAAGAGATTGGGTAAAGAAACCACCCTGCTTGGAACATTTTAGTTCATACTTTTTACTTTTGGCAAGGGATAGACTAGTTAGGCATATTGTAAGTTCCTAATTAATATGCATCAGAGTTCAAACAACTGGCACAATCTTTCAAGAAGATTAGAGCTATTATATCTTCAAAAAGATGTTATGTTACTGTACTATATTGTCTCTCGAATAAAACAATAGTGGAATATTTCTTGAGTACTTCCAACTGCTCATATATGTTTTTTAAGAATATTTTCAAGCCTTCTGTTACATTTTATTGTATTTTCCATTGTTTTTAGTTCTGTTGAAACTGGATGAAGAAAAAGAATGGATATGGGTAACCAACATCCATCTATCAAAAGGCTGCAAGAAATACAAAAAGAAGTCAAAGAGTTTGAATCTCAAGTAGTAGCCTTCAGTGGTTTGTCCAGTGATAGAGCTTACAAGAAATTAGAAAGGACTTTGACTAAACAGCTTTTTGAAATCGATTCTGTGGATGCTGAAGGAAGAGGTGATGTTCAGCAAGCCAGAAAGAGGGCTGCCCAAGAAACTGAGAAACTGCTTAAGGAACTGGAGCAGAATGCAAACCATCCCCAAAGGCTGGAGATAGAATCCATATTTAACGAGGCACAGGCATTGGTGGAACAGGAAATCACTGCTTTTTATAAAGGAGGCAACTGTGTAACTGAGGAATTTGAAGAAGGTTTACAGGATATAATATTTAGACTCACTCAGGTAAAAACTGGAGGGAAAATTTCTCTGCGGAAAGCCAGATATCGCACCCTGACCAAAATATGTGCTGTTCAAGAAATTATAAGTCGTTGTACAAAGCAGCAGCCTTCCCTGCCATTGTCCAGTGATGCACATCCTTCTGTTTCCAAAATTAATTCTGTCATAGGAGATGTGAACAAAGCAAAAGGGACTCTTATTGCTGTATTAATGGGAGTAAATAACAATGAGACCTGCAGACATTTATCCTGTGTACTCACAGGTCTGATTGCTGATCTGGATGCCTTAGATGTATGTGGCCACCCAGAAATAAGGAACTATCGTAAAGAAGTAGTGGAAGAGATCAATAGATTGCAAACATATCTGGATCTGGAAGAAGAAGCAGATTCCACTTATGCTTATGACTTGGCACAAAATGGATCCATTATAAAAATAGAAGAAATACGCCAGAACATGAAAGAAGTTAAAGCTTCCCTTTTAAAAATAGAGAAAGCTTCAGATTTGTATTTAAAGTCAAAGACAGAGCTGCAGGGATTAATCGCCCAGTTGGATGAAATAAGCCCAGGCAACAATCCCTGCATCCGAGAAGCCAGGAGGCGAGCTGTGATAGAAGTGCAAACCCTCATAACTTATACTGACTTAAAGGAGGCACTTCTTAAACAACAAACTTTTGTAGAGCAAACAGAAATGGAAATCCCGTCACAAAAAGCAATCTGGAATATTCTTGGAAATGTGGCTCAGATTCAACAAGAGGTGTTGTCTTTTGATGGGAACAGAACTGATAAGAACTACATGCGGCTAGAGGAGCTCCTCACCAAACAGCTTCTAGCACTTGATGCTATAGATCCTCAAGGAGATGAGTGTTCAAAAGTATCCAGAAAACAGGCAGTGAAGCTTGCACAGAACATTCTTTACTATTTGGACATGAAAACTGATGAATGGGAGTACTAAAATAATATTGGTCTTATGTGCTAGATGTTGGTTTCTCTCTTGCACTTTATAACAGTCAGTCTCCCATAACTACAAGACTAACGGTTCCATCATTTGCTCATCTCTTTGAGGTTGAGTAAAAGTTGGATTGGGTTAAGCAGCAACTTTTTTCCTGCTTGTGCAATCAGGCAGTGAAGGCAGTCCATGTACCAATTATGTTACAATTTTTGTCATAGCCTGTTTTCAGTTGCTTGCATGATTTGTGAAGATGACTCCCAAAACTGCATCTCCAGCTGTTACCTAAAGCTTTCTATATAAAATTCTACATCAAGACAAAATACAGTCTTGCAAAATCAAAGTAAAACTAATGAGAAAATCCAGAGCAAATGTCAGTCAGCCTTAAACCAGTTTAGATATTTGCAGTTGACTGCTTCAATCCAGGTGCAATCCAAAGGATTAAATGCAAATTACTCATGGCTGTTTTGTGTGTTTGATTTAATATTGCTGATCTTTCATCTGAGATTTTTTTAATAGTTTGGCATAATATGAAACATGAACATATCTGAAATATAAATTTGTAATTGTGTACTTTCTTCTGACTTCCATAGGATTATTTCAAAATTAACAGACAGTCAATCAGTTTGCACATTCTGGAGTTCTCATTATGTAAACTAGAGGAACACCAGGATATAGAAATGGTTCGACTTTAAAAATAGAATGCATAGCATAGGTTGAACAATATATATTTCCTGAATTATGGTGAAGTTTTCAGTAACCAAACAATGATCCTGAATTTGGGATCTTAATAGCTGTGGAGATATTTTCCTTTAATTTTGTGGTGATTTGGTAGATATTTGGCAACTTGTCAAATATTCCTTTGCATTTTTTTGATAGATTCATCATTTCTTTTTGCAGACTGTTACTTTTTCTAAGATTTCATGTGCTGCTGTTATAGCTTAGAGTGTTGTTTAAAATTTTCTTTTTCCAAATGCTGTTTATGATTTAATAAGACAGCAGATATTTCTTTTGACTTTTTTATCTTTCAATCCATCAGAATGACTAAACATTTCAGAAAACAGAATTTAAAAAGTAGAAGCATTGTTATATATTACTTTAACTATCTTGAATAGGTTACATGTACTATTCCTGAGTATAAAAGAAAAAGTTGCTTTAGTTTTTTAACATTTTGTCCTCCACATCTTTTTGTCTTCACTAAAGTTTCATAATTTATTAACAGTATCTGATAATATTTCTGAATACACCAAACCTAAGTCAGTTTAACTATAATTTTTCCCTGTTGCTTATAAATTCGGAATAGGAGAAATCAACAGCAATCATATTTTTAAAATGCATTAGTAGTATCATCCAGAAATCTGCAGTCGATTAATATATAGAATAACATGTTTCTAATCCAAACTCCATATAGTAATCAAAATTGGCTTGTAGAAGATTATTTATACAATACATGATTAATGCATGATGAGATATTACATTGATGTGTGTGAATAAAATTTTAGTATAGAATTAAAAGGCATAAGGCTTATTCTTGAGAAACAAGTGCCTCTTAAATGACCTTTCAATTTGTAGCACCTTGTAGCTTTTACTGCTGTAGTTGACTTCATGGTGTTTTTCAGTGAAGTTTTTTCTGTATTATGGATTAGTTATCATTTTTCATATTTGTAAGGCTCTACTATGATATTAGCAAACGCCTAAAACCTTGATGACTGCAACCTCCATTTTGCTTAGTTTTGTCCTTGACCTAGTCTCATTGGCTCAATTCTCTGATCTCTTGTGTGTGTCATTTCTGTGAGACGTAAAAAAGGAGTAGTGGCTCAATTTACTTTAAAATTAATTTTGATCTTGTACAATGTTTTTTTAAAGCTTGATGTATTTTTGTTGTCCTGATATTTTGGTGTATCTTTGTCAATGAACAGTTAATAGAGTCCACAATGAACTAATAAGCATTTGAGTAGCTTCATCATCAGTGACTTCATTTAGTCCCTTTTCTTATTGTTTAAAATGATTAATTTTACCTGCTTGTAACTGTTCTAGTTTGGGTCCTTAGTAAATTGTCTAGCGTATTTCATTAAGATATTTTCACTTTCATTGAAAGTTTTCATTCTAGTTACATGGTTTTGATTCCCAACTCTGCATATGTAAAGTTTCCACATGATTTGGATTCCCCATTAATATAACTTTCAAAACAATAATACAAGTGTTTTTCTTCTAGTCTCTTTTTCCCTATATAGGACTTCAACTTCCATGTGGAAGCCATTGCTTATCTGAGTACTCTGAAATGAGATGGCAGATTAGACATGTATTTTTAGGGAACAAATAAGTAATTGGTTGTGTATCTACTGTGTATCCCTCAGCTCACAGAAAACTCTTCACCAGAAGATACTTTTGTAAAAGAAAGAGAAAGATGATTACTGCTGATTCTCCTCTCTCTTTACCTCCTTGGTTTCCATAAAATAAGCTCCAATGTTTAGGGAGCAGCATTAAATGTGGTGTTGGCAGTTGTAGCAAAAAGAAAGTTTATATTTGGATTTAGTTTTTACGCTGTTTATGCTTCAGACACAGATTCTTAATGTTGGTTACTAGTTATTAGCAACTTGCATGAAAAAAAATCTTCAGTAAATTCCAACAACTGTAGTAGAAGAGGAGAAAGTTCTTCATTCCCATGCAGTTCTGAAGAAGTCAAGCAATGATTTGGGGAACTTTCTAGAATCACATAGTGATTTATGATTTAAAAAGAATAGAAAACTGTAAAAACAGTTCAGAACTCTTTCCCTGATGCAACTGAAGGCCATTCTGTTTTGCACCACATACATCTGATGTTTTTTGTTATTTTAACTTTAAATTTTTCTATTAACTTTTTGCTCATATTTTACATGTAACTGCAATGCTATTGTTCTAAACTTCAACATGTAGGCTTCTAGTACACAGAGACGTTCTTAAGGTTCTCATAACTCTTGTATCTTGTAAAAGGTGCAAGTTTTAGAGAGAAAGTGTAATAAAATTACAGTAATATTGTAGTAAAAGCATAATTTCCCATTTTTCTATTTAAAAATAATCTCTAGCAAATTTGTGCTTTGCTGATCTATATTTTAAAGTTACTTGGTGTAACTATAGAACTGATTTTTGCATGAATAAATATGATAAATATGATAAACCAAAATGAAACATTACAAATTTGTTTTGCACTTTTAAGAATATTCTTTTTTTACTTAAGATGCAAGTAGGTTACAGCACATATTTTCCATTGCAATGATTTAACAGTCTATTCTGCAGTTCTGCATTGGACCAGATTGGAGGATTTTTTTAATATAAGGCTTTTGCGCAGTGCAATAGTATTTAGGGTAAGAAACATGTAATTCTATTCAAATACATCATGATTTTGATTGTATTGCTTTAGATATTCTGTTGCTCTAAAAAGACTTCTGATAGCTTTCTGATGTTTTTGCTAGCAAACATGAAACAATTTTGTTTTGAACAGTTTGAAATTAACTATTCCAATATGATTGGCAAACCATTGTAATCAGCTTCTATAATTAAGCTTTCTCTGGGCACTAGATCTGTAGTTGGTACATATTCTGTTGTATGTTAAATTTGAGAACAAGCTACCACATGGCTGGAGCTTGCTGTTTTTTGATTAAGTGTATCATCTCATGTTTATGTATTGCACTGTTCAGTATATACAGATTCAGAAATCAATAAATTATCTGGATGTTGCTTTCTTGACAATTCACTTCAGGACAGAATAATTCCTTGTGTTGTATGGTGGGTTGTGTGTATAAAATTCTGTACTTCAACATAATGGTCTGTAGCCATTACTGATATATGGATGGCATTAGAATGTTAAATTAGGTTTTTCTTCTTTTTGATAAAAATGTAATTATCAAAAATGGGCCTTTTCTTTTTAGTTAAGAAATACAGTTTTAGAAATAACACGTAACAAAATAATATAATGAAATGTGCAGCCTTTCCTCAGGGTCATAAGTGCCCTGATCACCTCATGATTAAATTATGGCAATGTGTTCTACATGAGTTTGCCTTTGAAGACCATCTGGAAGCCTCAAATGGTTCAAAATGCTGCAACTTGAGCAGTAATTTCCTGACAGAACAATTAATCAGTGGAACAACCTGCTTCCAGAAGCTGCGAATGCTCCAACACTGGAAGTTTTTAAGACGAGATTGGACAGCCATTTGTCTGAAATGGTATAGGATTTCCTGCCTGAGCAAGGGGTTGGGTTAGATGACCTCCAAGATCCTTTCCAACTTTATTACTATCATTATCTTTATTATTATTAGGCACTTTTCATTATGCCCATGAGTCCCAAGTTGTGTTGGATACCAGTAGGTTTCCAATTGCAATTCAAGGTACGAGTTGTTATCTATTAAATCCTTAATGGCACAGAGCCTGGTTATCTGTGGGAGTTACTTCATTTCCAACTGTTTCTGCCCACCCATTATGTTTGGGCTGAGTGGGTAGGCTTTGGGTCGCCTCAATTAAACATGTGGGACCAATGAAGCATGCTTTCTAAGTCACTGCCCCCTACTTCTGGAAAAGAATTCCCTCCCTCAAAATATGGACACCGCCATTCTGTCATTTTGGAAAGCCCTTATGACCTGACTCTGTTCCTACACTTTGGGTTAATTGCTTGTGTTTTTATTGTTTGGTTGTTTTGGAATTGGACTGTTGGTTGTTTATATTTTTAATTGTTTTCATTGTTTATTTGGATTTTGTAAGCTGCCCAGAAATTACTGAAGTGAGCAACCATCACATATTAAATTATTATTATTAAAATTAAAATTAAAATGTAAAATTGTAAGCTTAGAATCAGACTATTTAGGATTTAACTACTTGAACTCTTGAATGGAAGAGATGATGTGATTATAACAAATAACTATATGCAATTTAATGGCGTTCCCAATCAAAAAGATTTTCAAAAGGGGAACAGAATACAAATGAAGTAATTAATTCTAATTCCATCTTTTTTCTAAAACATTCCTTTCTTCTGCTTTTCCCCCCATGGAATTTGGCATAAGAAATAGAATAGGGTGAAATTTAAATTATTTCTACTCTTTTAATGATCCTATCAGAATAAAATTTTACTGAAAGGAGGGGAATTTATATTTGCATGTCCTGCATAGTTAAGACCTTCTATTTAATGCACTATAGATAGTTGGCAGAAAGAAAAATACTAAAAAAAAAGGCAGATAATTCATTTATTTGGTGCTTTAGGAGTTCTGTATTAATTTTATGCAGTGTCAACATAGCATGGATCAGACCATTTTCAGATTTGGAAACTAGATTTCACTTAGAGATTGGTATGCTAATAAATATACCTATAACCACCTTGGGACAATATAAACAGAAGTGCCTTTTTAAAATCAGCCTAATTATATGTATATTAAGAAGAGTGGCTTCCTTAAACCAATTTCATGCACTGTCATTTTTCCTGGGAAATATGTTAGAAGAATTGGATTACCAAAGTAATTATAATGAACTTTGTTCCTCCTCAAGGACATCCTTATATTCTGGGATTCTGATTCCTTCAACCGCATATATTGAATATTAGATGCTATTTATAATTTCCCTCCGGCCTCGGTTTTTCAATTCTTTATTGGAAAACCTTAAAATACAACTCCAGTTCAATCACCTTGTGCTCCGTTTGCAAGAGTAGATGGGGAGTAAAAGAGAAAAGTCCAGGAACCAAATATACCCTCTCTTGGCCAGACCTGCCTTTCAAGTTAAAATGGAGCTCTTCCATAGAGTATTTAGAGATGTTAGGAGACCTTTGTCATCTGTTATGCAGCTATATTATATAACTCTTTGGTGGTATTTTAGCATGAATATTTTACTATTATTGTATGGTTCTTATTAGTGCCAGAAGTCTTGGAGCAGATTGATTGATTGGCTGACTGACTGATTGTTTTGTTCCACTTTTTCATGCAGCCATCAGGTTTCGGCAGGGTTCTCTAGGAAAATCTGCCTTATGAAAACTACACAGAAAAGGATTTTATTAAAAGAATTAAGGCATAAATTATATCTAGCTTACATTTATAGTCTCATTTGCCAAGTTAGAACTCTAACAAAGAAGCAAGATAATCAAGCCATTCTAGCACAATTTGCATGCATACAAAAAACTCTTGACAAAGCAAGAATAGTTATACTATTATGCAGTAAGTGACTTTTCAAGAAGAGCCAGAAATCTTAAGGGAGTGGACTGGACAATGAAAACATCACATACTGGTTTAAAATAAGGTATCTATAAGAATGTAGAAAAGAAAGAAACAGAGAAAGGGAGAGAGAAAGACAGAAAAACAGAAAAAGAGAGAAAGAAGAAAAAGAAAAACGAAGGAAAGGACAATGGAAATACATATAAAAATGTAGGAAATACAATGGAGTATAGTAGAATAGCCTGATTTTTATTGCTCAATTCAATAACCCCACTCTAAACTGTAAGCTGAAAATATTCAGAATACTCTGATAAAATAAATATGGTGCTCTTGATTATGAGCTATCACGATGGCATCAACTGATAGCAATCACATTGATATTCTCCATCGTGATCTGTCCCTAATCTTTTAGGTCAGGGGTCCCCAACCTTGAGCCACAGACTGGTACTGGTTCACAGCCTGTTGGAAACTGGGCTGCGCAAGAGATGGGTGAGCACACAAAGCTCCATTGGCATGTGTGGGAACTAGATTGCACCTGAGAAACCATTCCCTCCCTCCTTGCCACTGCCACTGCTGCTGCCAACCCATGGAATCAGAAAATTGGGGACTGCTATTTTAGATCTTCCTAGTGTGCATCTATTGACGCTAACTGAGTACATCCATCCCTTAATATATATTCAACATATAAGCTGAATAGAATAGGGGAGAGTATACAATCTTGTCTCAATCTTTTGCCAACAAGGAACCAGTCTATTTCATCATGGTCTATCCATACTGTACTTATATAGGTGCAATTTTGGAAGAGGATAGTAAGATGTTCTGGGATTCCCTCTTTTCTAAGCACTTGCCACAGCTTCATATAACTGAGATAATCAAAGGCCTTTCTATAATAAACAAAACACGGACTGACTTTTTAAATATTTGGCTTTCCCAATTATCCAATGTGCATCAGCAATAATACTATATCTCATGTTCCTCAGTTTTTTCTAAGCTCAACTTAATATCTGAGATCTCCCTTTCCATTAAAGTCTCCAATCTGCACTGAATGATCCTAAGCATGATTTTGCTAGCATGTAAAGATAAATATATTGTATGACAGTTTACACACTGTTAAGTTTCTTTCCCCACCCTTTCTCTCTGCCTCTTCCTTTCCCTCTCCCTTACTGGAATTTAGATTCACCTCTTCCAATGTTGGATTCTTTCTTCAAATTTACTGACATAATTTACAAATTTTTTATTTGTTGCTTGCTATACAGTATTTCTGTAGATATTTTATCAGTTCCAGTAATGACCAAAGTGCTAGTCTAGTTTCTTCTATACTAGAGTTTATGGCATCTTGGATGCTGACATCTCTATTATACAATATTTCGGTATACTCTTTCAATCTTTCTATGCTAGTTTTTGAATCAGTTACTGTCCATAAGTGTCCTTTAGCATACCAATTTAAGATTGGAACCTTTTTCTGAGTTCAAATGTCTTGTGAAAGACTTTCCTTGTTTTTCCGTCTCTATTTCCATCTTCAATATGTTTACATATGCAGTTATAATATTACTTCCTGTTTCTTCTGACAACCTTCCAAGACTGTTATGTTCTTTCTTGAGATTTTTGCCCTTCTTGGCTTCGGCTTCTCTTCTCTTTTTGGCAGTTTCTTTTCTTTCTTTTTTCCTGACATTCAGTTTGCTTTCTTCTGTTTCTTCATCTTTGGCAACCTGATCATGTTCATTCTTAACAGCATCTTTAAGTTTATTCCATAGTTCCTCTAGTTTTCTATCAATGAGTTTCTGGATTTCAAAGCAATTTCTGATGAAATTGAAAATGTTGGTGTTGAGTCCTCAGCTTAACGGCAATAAATCACAGAGTGTCAAGAAGCCTTTACTGTTGTTTCTTCAGCTCTATTTCAGTTCCGTTTCAGCTCTGAGGCACGCAGGCCTCTCTGCCTCTCTTAAGAACGCTTCCCCGGACCAAATGGCAACATTTGGCGCGCTCCGTGCCTTGCGCATGTGCGCGAAGCCAGTGCCACCCAGTCTGGTCCCGGGCAGCTTGCAACTGCCCGGGACCGTTGCAACGTCTCGAGCCTGCCTTTGCAGGCTCAGGACCCAATACCCCTTCCCCCCCGGCTAAGACTAATAAACTATATGAATAGTTACACGCGACCTCAACATTCCGGGGATTAATACACAATGCCCGTATTTCCATTGTTCCCAACAACAGACACCCTCTCACTGTTTCTGCTTTGCCAGCAGAGTTACAAAGTCTTCAAGGTACTTAGGAGATCTCTTAACTCTCTGTGATCTCCTTAGACCCTGATAATCCCCAATTTCATTTTGCCCAGAGAGTGACATGAAGTTGCCCCCTTTTTCGGACCCTGATGGTCCCCATGGACCGTGCCCCGATGCCTGGTCTGCTTGCTTGCCCACTGGGCTCGTCAGACCAGGACTTTGTTCTCCCAATAACCTGGTTGACCTGCCTAGTTGCAGGCTCTCTGGCCCCTTTATACAACTGCCACTGTTAGGCAACTCTGTAGTGCTTCCCAGGCCCACACTGGACCTATCAAGGGGCTG